CCAGTCTCTCTCCCTTCCCCCATCCCATCTTCCCTTTCCCCGCCCCCCCCCGCCCCCCGCCTTCACTTATGGGAGAGAAACAGGAGCCAGAGGCCTAGGACAGTCTCATCTCTGGCTCCCCAGGGAGACAGGGAAAGGACCCAGACTTCTTCCTGGAACCCAGGTTTTCTGGCTGCAACCCCCAGCCTGGCTAGGCCTGGCCACACTTTCCCATCCTGTCTTTATCTGGGGCCCCTGACCCTCCCTGGGCAGTCCTGTTGCGGGCCCCCCCAAAGCTCCAGGGTGGGGTGGGGATGGGGTGGGGTGCCATCCATTCCCCGCTCCAGGCCTCCCGCCTTGGCAGCTTCCCTTGGAAGGAGACAATGGGGCTGTGAGTAGAAAAGGGCAGGGGCAAAAGGAGGCTGGCTAGATCCAGGCCGGAGCATGCCCTGAGCCCACCAGAGTCCTGGCACTGTGACATTTCCTGAGGGGTGCAGCCCCTCCTGCCCTGTTCTCATCAGAAGCCAGGAGTTGGTGGGGGAAGGTCAGCGGGAGGCTTGATCACCAGAGCGCAGGGAGGGGGATTCCAGAATGTGCACTTTGATGGAGAAATGCAGCTGTGGAGGGGATGAGGCGAGGGCAGGGCGGGCAGCCAGGCCACGGTCAGGCTGGCAGCAGGGCACCGGGCCAGCCAGAGCAGGAGACACTTGGGGAACACAGACGCCTGTCCTCTGCAGGCCAGCAGGAGCGCCCCCTAGCCTGTGTCCTCCTTCCTGCCTGCGGTGGGTGCCTTCTTGATGCTTCCCCAGAGCTGCCAGAGGGGGCGCTGAGGGAGGGAAAGGTTGCTGGGAGGCTTCTTTTCTTCACCCTTTGGCCTCTTTGGCTGGTTCCTCCAGCTGTGAGCCCTCTGTTTAGTCTAGAAATTAGATCTAGAAAGGAGTTAGAGAGCATCTGGTCCAATATTCTCACTTACACCGTGAGTGCAGCAAGGTCCAGGGACAGGAGGTGACTTGCCCAAGGCCACCCAGAATGCTTGCTAGTAGCTGAGAGCAGGGGCTGGGAGTCTGTCTGCTCAGCACCTCATCCTTGTGTGCAGTGGGGGGTAGGGATCAGGAAAGGGGCACGGGGCCTTCCACAGGCCCCTTTTGCTCCCCCATCCCACCCTCAGATGGGTGCTCCCACCACCCAATATGGGAGAGCAGAAGGCACATGACAGAGTCTCCTCAGGCGTCCAGCCCTTCCTTGGCCTCCCACAGCTGTGACCCACAGGAAGTCCTTTTGTACGGTGAAGTCTGTTGGAGAAGGGAAAGTGCCCGCCTCTGCCAAGAGCCGTGAGGAGAGAAGTGTGAGGAAGGACAGAGGGAAGGAAACTGGGCCGGGATGGGGGAGGGGTGGCGTGGGGGCCACTGGTGGGCAGTGGGGAGGCAGGGGTTAATGCAGCTGGGGCATCACGGGCTTTGATGTGGTGGTTGGGGTGGGGGTAGGGACTGGGGGAGGGGGAGCAGTAATTACCGAGTTAGACAGAGCAGGACAGGACAGGCGGGCGGGCACAGGCCCGGGCCCAGCCGCCTCGGCAGCCGGCAGCCGTCAGGCAACATTTTTCTGCCCCTTCTCCACCACCCACCTCCCCCACCTCCATGCAGCCCCCACCCACAGCCCCAGGGCTTAGGGCTCCCTCTGCTGGCTCCTGGGAGGTAGGGTCAGTCCAGGGACCTTGGGGGTGGGGGTGAGGAAATAGAGGAGGATGGCTTTGAGAAAATTCAGAGGCTGGGCATCCACATGGTTTGTGATCCCTTTGGCCTCAAGAGTCCACCCAGGAGTGCCTGCTGGGGAAGGGCAGGGGTCCTAACGGTGCTTCTGGTCCATGGGCAGGGCTGGATGGAGGAGAAAGAGACACAGGGATCCAGGCTGAGAAAGAAGGGCAGAGAGCTGGAGAAAAGGGTGTTCTCAGGGATCTGCAAATGCTGCCTGCACCCCACTGTGCAGGCCCAAGGGATGAATAAGGGTGTGAATAGGAAGACAAAAGACACTTGTTGAAGCCCACTCTCCAGACAGGTTTTTGCATATGTGGGTGGATATTATTATTTCCACTTTACAGCTGAGGAAACTGAGGCTCAGAAGGTTAAGTCTCTTCATCCACTCAACAAATACTAAGTGCCAACTTCACATGCTAGGGACTCACTTAGCATCATAGAACAAGCAAATGGCAGAGCCCTGCTCTAAGCCCAAGGCTGGTGGATCCCGAAAGCCCTGAGTGTGCTCCGCTAATGAAATCATGCCTACTCCTGAGATTTTTGTCTTTAATGAGTTTTCTACCTAATTGGAGAGATAAGCAGACATGAACAAATAATTATGCCACTGGCAGGATAACAAGCACCTCCAAATGAGTGACACCTGGGGTGTGATGCAGGGGGAGGGGCTGGAGTCCAGGGCAGGTTCCTTACAGCAAGTGAGATCTGAGGTGAGCTTGCAGAGATGCTGGCTAAGATTTTGATGATTTAGGGGTGTGGATGGGGTGGCTGTGAATTCGGAAATTGTGTGGTGTGATCTGGAATGGATTCAGAGTTAGCCAGCTGTGCTAGGAGTAAGAGGCTGTGTGGAGGATGGTGTGAGAAGGCACCTGAGGTCTTCCGATACCTTGTGCAGCCATGTCCCTGTTTGGTTTTTAAAATATTCACCTAACTTTTCTTGCAATGGGAATCCCTCCACCCAGTGACCAGGGTCCATCACCTCTCCTTTCATATTACTCATCTGGATAACGGGGGTGAGGTGGGTGGGGATGGGCTAGGTGATCTCTGGCATTCTGTTTGGCTCTCTGAATCCAGAGATGAGAAGGTAGGTTAGGCCAGAACTGTGGGGCCTCTAGGGCTTAGGTCTACACTCTCATGCTTGATAGTGGCATTAGGTCCACAGAGGTTGCTAGTAGGAATTGGCTGATCCCTAATGCCACTATTTACCATCATCCATGATCCTTGCGAGAAAGATCTTGGTGCAGGCCAAGCCAGTTAGAATGGCCAACGATAGGCTTGCCCTTCTTGTCTGCATATTGATTTCTTTTAGGGCTGGCCTCATTTTTATCTATGCTCAGAAATGGTTGTTTGATTACAATCCCAGATCCTATATATTACATATTCCCTACCACCACTATACTCCAGCATCCAAAACATGCAAATTCTCTCAAAGGGGCACATCTCTGGGCTGATCCCAGACCAGTGATGACCCAGAGGTCCAAGCTCATACCCTCAGGAAGCAGAAGGGAAGGAAGGAAGGGAAAGGTGTGGTGGGGGAGTTATTTCTTGATATGGAGTCAAATATTAACCTTAGAGGAGGTATGTGAGCCTCTTTTGCTAACTACTCATTTTTCTGAAGCCCAGAAAGTGAACTGACTTGCCCATAGGTGCTCAGTTCACCCAGAGCTGACAGAAACTGGGGTTCAGAAGAGTGGTTTGATGTTTTTCCCAATGTCGCCTGCCATGCCCCTTCTGGAATTTCATTTCCTATGTATTTAGGATGGGAGCGAGAACAGGAGGGCAGGGAGCAAGCTGGTCCCTTGGGATTCTAGCTGCTACTACTGCCCATCCTTCCTCCTGACCAGCTCGTAAACAAGTCTAGTTCCCAGGCAGCCCGCCAGCCCATGGAGCCAGACCCTCAACCCCGTGAAGGGCCAGCTCCACCTCCTGAAGGGCCCTGCCCTTGTACTTCTCGTGATTCCTCTCCTATCTCTAGCCCCTGGGAAGCAGACAAGGTCAAGAGGTTTTTGCCTTTCTGCCTTGCTTGTCCCCACTCCCTCCTGCTTTCCTAAGGGAGGAGGAAGGAGAAGAGAGGGATGGGGCAGAGTGACCTTGGGAAGATAAGGCCAGTCAACCTTGGGAAAGTAGGGAGTTAGCAGAGGGCAGGATTGAGGAAGAGGGACTGGGGAACTTAGCGTCAGGGGTGGTGGGGGTGGGGAAGATGAGTTTGCAGAGTCCAGTCTCTCAGGTGGATTCCTAGACATACATACAGGTGGTAGGAGAGGAGCTGGGTAGCAGCAGAGAGAACTTGTTTCCTGCCTCCCAATCCCAGTGGGGGAAAATAAAATGTTTGAGGAAATGAATTAGGAGTCATGAAATAACATGCAGATTGGGATGTGGGCTCAAGTGAGGACTTTCTCCTTAGATCATTCATTCATTCAGAAACTTGCATTAAGCGATGTTCACTGTAGTATAATACACTATGTATATTATTCATATATAACATAGAATTCATAATGTGTAAATTTTCACAATAAAAATTGGGGGGAAGTATGAATTAAGCACCTAAAATTCTGCCAGGGGAGACAAAGGAAAACAACATACTTCTAACTTTCGAGGAGCTCATAGTCTTATCTGCTGATCCTGTAAAACCATGCTGGAAGCTGCCTCAAATCCTTTTATAATGAGGGTGGATGAGTGGATGGAGGGGAAATGGATGGATGGATAGAGATCGATCAACCTTTGAAGGTCACTGGGCCATTGAGAACCAGCTTGGGCTTCCCTACCATTGGCTCACTCTCCACTGCTCCATCAGTCACCTCTTCGGTGTTGGGAAAGGGTTGGGGGCTGAGCACAATGAAGAAACCTCTGGACTGTAAGTGTCTCCACTGAGGAGAGAAGTCTGGTTTCTGAACTACTTGGGTAGGGATGATGACAGCTACCTGATCGTGCGTGCGTGTGTGCGTGCGTGCGTGTGTGTGTGTGTGTGTATGTGTGTGTTAGGAGACCTCAAAAGACTGAGCTTACATATCTTCCTGCAATTACCTCTTCAAGCAACTCGCTCCTCAGTGTTGAGAGTTCCACCTTAAGATCTAAATTCCTCTTGCTGCTATTTAAGACCATTGCATCTCATTGTTGTGGGGCCTGAACATGCCTGGGCGGCCTGTACTTGTGGAGCAAATGGGGACAGTGGGGCGGATAGGCACCAAAGCAAAACTGAAAAGTAGGCCACTTTGACCTCTGGCACCCATCTACCACCATTTTTCTCTATGTTTTCTATTTCTTGGTGCCCTCTCTCCCCACCCAGAGTCTTTTTTTTCTGCCCTCTGCTGAAGGGTTTTTGAGTGGTCTCAATTACTCTCTGCTTCTAAGTGCTCTGCCCACTCATTCCTTCAAGACAAGAGATTCCAGCTAAGTGCAATCTGATTAGAGTGGCTCCCCCCAGGTATGAATACCTAGTGACTTAACCTTCAGGGGTCTGGTGTATGCAAACCAAGTGGCAGCTCTTGCCTTAGATGGAGTGAAGGCTGGGAATGGAGGGACTTCTAAAAACATGTAGAACTTCCCATGAGCTCTTTACCTACCAAGCCCCCCTTTCCCAATCAGTTATGTCACCCCAGTGCACAGGGCTTGGCTGGCTGCCATCCTGCACTGGAAAGGTCATGGACACTGGAGCAGGAGAAGAGTCAGTGTCACCTGCTTCCCAGTGGTGCTTCCTCCTGCTCTCTAGTTCAGGGGAACAGAGGATATCAGTGTGGGAGGGTCCACCTTAGAGATCAAAGCCCAACCTTTCCATTTCACAGGAGAAACTTTGACTAGAGAGGGCGTGTGACTTTCCTCAGAGGCTCCATTCCCTAGGCACTCTAATGTATCCCTGGGATTGCCCCTGCCTTTCATTAGGGCTGTTCAGCTTCTATATCCAGCTTGTGGTCCACTAAGACCAGATCTCTCCCTGACACTGCCTCCTTTTCTTTGGTGTCTCTTTATGACACATGCTTTATTTTCTTTGGCAGCCTTCTTGATCTTTCTTCTAATTTCTTCCTTATCTCCCTTTCGGGCTAAGCCTGTTGAATTTTACCCTTGGCCTATCTGGTGCCACCTGCCTTCACCTTGAGTCAAATTTCTATAAGGATTTATTAATGAAAATGTGCAGAGAAGGATAAGACTGAATCCTTGCTCTACAGAAATTATCAGTCTAGAATCTAGTCAAGAGGGGACACAGATATGGAATGTAAGAGAAACAATCTCAATCTCAATCTCAATCTCAGTTGAGTTAGGGTGGGAAGGCATGTCACAGCTCCTGTCTGTGGGATGAGTGGGGCTGGTCTCTGTCCCCTCCACTGCCAACCCTCTTTTAAGTTACACCCCTGGCCTGCTGTTCTCTGCTCCCCAGGGCCGTGGGCAGCCCCTTGGTCATGGACCCTACCAGCATCTGCAGGAAAGCACGGCGGCTGGCAGGGCGGCAGGCGGAGTTATGCCAGACCGAGCCGGAAGTGGTAGCAGAGTTAGCCCGGGGTGCCCGGCTTGGGGTTCGAGAGTGCCAGTTCCAGTTCCGCTTCCGCCGCTGGAACTGCTCCAGCCACAGCAAGGCCTTTGGGCGCATCCTGCAGCAGGGTCAGTGTGGAGAGGGGATCTAGGGGGCGGGGGGCTGCTTTCTCTCTGCTGGGGGACCAGAGGAGAGAGGAGCTGGTTTAGGGAGGCTGCCTGGTTTCACACCCCTGGTCGGTCTATGGGCACCCTTACCACGCCTGCCCCTCCACACGCTGAGCGGAACCTGTCTCCCAGGTCCCTCCTGGTGGCATGTCACGCTGCCCCGGCCGCCGCAGTCCCCAGGCCCCAGCTATGCCCCTGCGCGCTGACTGCCTCTCCCTGCATCCGCAGACATTCGGGAGACCGCCTTCGTGTTTGCGATTACGGCGGCGGGCGCCAGCCACGCGGTCACGCAGGCCTGTTCCATGGGTGAGCTGCTGCAGTGTGGCTGCCAGGCACCCCGCGGGCGGGCCCTGCCCCGGCCCTCTGGCCTGCCTGGCACCCCCGGGCCCCCCGGCCTCACGGGCTCCCCGGACGGCAGCGCGTCCTGGGAGTGGGGAGGCTGCGGCGACGACGTGGATTTCGGGGACGAGAAGTCGAGGCTCTTTATGGATGCGCAGCACAAGCGGGGACGTGGAGACATCCGCGCGTTGGTGCAACTGCACAACAACGAGGCGGGCCGGCTGGTGCGTATGGGCAGGAAAGTGTAAGCGGGTGTGCGAATGTGGGAGAGCCTGGTGTGGCAGAGCGTATTTGTGGAAGTGTGGGCATGAGTGGAGTGTGTACTGTAGGAGTATGTTAATATGTGTGGGAGTGAGCGTGGACAGAGGTGGGGCACTTGGGAAGCTTGGCTGGGGGCATGGATGGGCATGTGGGAGGTGAAGTGCCCAGCCTAGAAGACGGAGTCTCTTGCAGGTCTAGGAGGGCCTAATGCTGGTGGTACAGGGGGCAGAGTGGGGAGGGGCACTCAGGGAATAGGACTGAAGGCCTTTAGGGACCCAAGGTAGGAAGGACATACCTCTGAGATAGGACAGGTGAGGCAAAGCTTGGGGTGGGTTGAGCTCTGGATGCCAGGGCAGGGGCAGGGGAGGGAGACAAAGGCTGGGGTTGAAGGGAAGGATGGAAGCTGGGGCAAAGGGGTGGGGTCTGGAGGTAAAGCCCGGAAAAGCGGGGGAGGCCTAGAAAGGGTCTGGAAACAGTGCAGGTCAAGGAGCTAATTCTGGTAGAGGGAGGATGGGGTTAGTTGGAGGCCAGGAAAGCTGTGACTGGTTCTAGTCGCCTGTCAACTGGCTGCCCAGCAGCCCCAGACCAGGTCTCACCTCTCCAGAAACATGGCAGCCTCTCCCCTCCCTTCTGCAATGAGGAGGGCCCCAGGAGCTCTTGTTTAGGGGCAAGAAGCCTGCCTCAGTAAAATGGTTTCAGGAGGGGGCAGGCCGGATACCAAGGAGTGGGAGGGGCACACACAAGTCTGTGGGTCAGGTTGGCCCCTGGATTCTGAGCTCTGGGAGATGATTTTCCTGGGTCATCTGTCTCATAAATCTCTAGTGGGATTGTGAGTCTTAGACTTCAGCTTAAGATACAAAAAATACAAACAGCAAATTGGCGGGCGGGACTCCTGGGTTCCATTCTCAGCAATGCATTCACGGTGGGCCCTCCTGCACCTTATGCCTCAGTTCTAGGGTGCTCAAGGGACAGCTCCTCCGCGCCCCCCAACCTGTGTTCTCTAGGGTTGGGGCCTTGAGGCATCGGGCAGGCAGGGAGGAGGGGGCCCGGAGAGGAATGTCCGGACAGGCCCACATACCTGTTGAGAGGATTGGGGAGGGGTGGCAGAAACAGACGCCCAGGCGGCTGGCTCTGCGTCTCTGCTCAGCCCCGCCTGGGGCTGTGAGGGGCAGGAATGAGGGGGCCCGGTTGGCAGGAGGGCCAGGCCGCGACAGCTGCCACCACTCCCCCTCTTCCTCCAGGGAGAATCTCACCCCTGCCATCCATTCTGCTTTTCCCCCACCCCCTGTCTTTGAACCTGGAATCTCTGCGCTGCATACTGTCTCCCCACTCCGCACATCTCTTCCTCCTCCGTCCTTATCATTCTTCCTCCTTCTCCTCTCTTGATTTCCCCCTCCCCACCTTGTGCTCTCTCTCTCTTTTCTTTTCTTTTTTTTTTTTTTTTTTTTTCTGCTCTTTTCCTCCCCACCGTTCACCTTCCGCCCCAATCTTGTTTTTGTCTGGCCTCTGGGCCTTTCTCCCACCCGCACCCCCCATCTGTCCGCCCGCTCCTCTGCTCCCCGCAGGCCGTGCGGAGCCATACGCGCACCGAGTGCAAGTGCCACGGGCTGTCGGGCTCGTGCGCGCTGCGCACCTGCTGGCAGAAGCTGCCCCCGTTCCGCGAGGTGGGCGCGCGGTTGCTGGAGCGCTTCCACGGAGCCTCGCGCGTCATGGGCACCAACGACGGCAAAGCCCTGCTGCCCGCTGTCCGCACGCTCAAGCCTCCTGGCCGCGCCGACCTTCTCTACGCCGCCGACTCGCCCGATTTCTGCGCCCCCAACCGGCGCACCGGCTCTCCGGGCACGCGCGGCCGCGCCTGCAACAGCAGCGCTCCGGACCTCAGCGGCTGCGACCTGTTGTGCTGTGGCCGCGGGCACCGCCAGGAGAGCGTGCAGCTCGAGGAGAACTGCTTGTGTCGCTTCCACTGGTGCTGCGTTGTTCAGTGCCATCGCTGCCGCGTGCGCAAGGAGCTCAGCCTCTGCCTCTGACCCTGGAACCGCCTGGCTCTCCAAACTGCGCAGAGCCCCCTCTCGGCACCTGCGGGACCTCTGGCCTCCAGCAGTGGGCGCTGCCCGGGCTCAGCTTCTCCCTGCGAAAGTTCATCTCCCAGCCCTGTGGAAAATGAGGCTGCGGGCTTGAGATATATATCCGCCCTCGAGGGCCGAGGGCGCGGACGGCCCCCGACAGGTGCTCTGCGAGTTTCTGGGGGAGACTATACAGGCCCTTCCTCTCCTTGGCCCCCAGGTGGAAACCAAAAAACCAGTCTCCAGGCCTCTGGATGCAGGGATCCTCATAACTGTTGGCCCTGGGATGGGTGGGTGAATTTAGTATCAATAAAAATATTTAAACCAATGGGTCTGGACTCACAGTTTGGGAGAGGGGCTCATCTGTGGGATGCCAGAGGGGCAGGCTCCGGACAGAGTGTGTAAATGGATGTGGATTTGATAGAGCTAGCACCTCGGGGTCATCACCCTGGGTCCCTGCCTGCCCCCCCCCCCCACACCATGCTGGGCTCTCCTGGAAACCCTACATTTCTCCCTTAGCATCTTCTTGTTCACTCTCGTCACACAGCTAAGGCCCGGGTCTGCAAGCTGGGAAAAAATTCCTCTTTAAAAGGACAGAGGACATGGGGGCCGGCCCGTGGCTCACTCGGTAGAGTGCGGTGCTGATAACACCAAGGCCCCGGGTTCAGATCCCATATAGGGATGGCCGGTTGGCTCACTTGGAGAGCCTGGTGCTGACAACACCAAGTCAAGGGTTAAGATCCCCTTACCGGTCATCTTTAAAAATAAATAAATAAATAAATAAATAAAACAAAAGGACAGAGGACAGAGTGAGAGGGTCTAGGAAAAGAGGACCAGAAGCTTCTGGCGGTGTGCCCAGCTCTCGGGCTAGCCCTTGTCTTAATTTTTAGGGGATTATGTCTGTTTCTGTGACCCTTGGAGAACTCAAGGGTACACTTTTGGGGCACTCAAGTGCATAGGATTAAAGCACTTTAAAAACTGTAGAGTATGACGAAAAATTATTATTAGCAATACCAAATTTTGCCACCATTAATACTAACTTCACCCCCATTAACCTTGAAAGGACTGCTCAGAACAGCATTTCTAATTATGCTTAGAGGGAGAGGAAACAAGTTTGTCCCAAGATTTCTCTTGGCACCCAACCATATTTCCTTCCTTCTGGTTCCTCTGGGGAAGGTGATAGTGAGGGTGAAGGGACACAGAGGCAGTTCTGGGTTCTCCAGAGATGAAGCTCATGCTCCCATCTTCCTCCAGAGAGAACTGGGGAGGGCATAGTCCAACTGCTGGTATTCAGAGCTTCCAACTTTCCTTCAGTCCAAATACCACAATGGGGAATGACTTCAAGGTATGTAGGATACAGCCTGAGCTTTAGATTTAGACATTCTACATTTGAAGCTGGTGTTGCTGTTTAGAAGTTTACAACATAGGCCAAGTTAGCCTCAGTTTCTTTACCTATACAATGGGATATCACTCTGTTTTAGTTATCCATTGCTGAATAACAAACAACCTGAAAGTAATTACTTCTCAGGATTCCTTTTTTTTTTTTTTTTTTTTGGCGCTGGCTAGTACAGGGATCTGAACTCTTGACCTTGGTGTTACAGGGCTGTGCTCTAACCAGCTGAGCAAACCAGCCAGCCACCTCAGGATTCTTTAGGTCAGGAATTTGTCAGAGCTCAGCTGAGTGGTTCTGCTCCATATGGCAGAACCATTAGTTGGGGTCATTCACGCAGTTGCATTCTGCTGGGGGCTGGGCTGGGCAATCCAAAAGACTTTACTCAGATGTTTAGGGCCTCAGAGCTTCTCCAGTAGTCTCCTTTTCTCCATGTGGCCAACTTGGGCTCCTTGCACCATGGTGGCCTTAGGGTAGTCAAATTTCTCTCTTTTTTTGTTTGTTTGTTTGTTTTTTCTCTTCATTTTAGGGTAGTCGAATTTCTTATATAGGCTGGTTTTCTTGAAGCTATAAAGGTCTCTCTCTCTCTCTCTCTTTTTTTTGATAGCTGGCCAGTACCACGACCTTCAGGTTATAAGCCTGTGCTCTAACCAACTGAGCTCACTGGCCATCACTATAAGTCTCTTGCTAAGGTTCAGCCTTGGAAGTTCCATAGCATCCCTGTCATTCTCTATTGGTCGAAACATGTCACAGAGCCAGCCAAAATTCAGAGGGGAAACAGACTCCACCTCACAAGGGGGGGAGTGGCAAAGAATTTGCAGCCGTTGTAACCCATCCCACACCTTCATAGAATTGTTGAGAGGACTTTTTTTAAGATATAAAAAGCACTTACACAGCATTTGACACATAATAATTTATGTCAAATTGATATTTAATAAATGGTAGTTACTGTGAGAATGGGGAGAGACAGCTGATGCTTTGTATTGGGCAGGCCCAGACTGCGAATGAAGATGCCCAACTTTTAGCTTAGGCCAAAGGGAATTAATACATGGATCTTATACCTGGGAAATTCAGAGGAAAGTCTGAATTCAGGCATAGATGAACCCAGGGGCTCAAATTATGTCAGAGGTCTTTCTCTCTTTCTCATTTCCTTCCTTCATCCTCCACCCCCTGCATCTGTTGTTTCTGTTGATCTCTGCCTCTCTTTGCATACTGTCCTCATTCTCTCCTCCTGCAGACTTTCTTCATACGACAGCTCTATGTCATTCTTAAAGCTGGTGATCCAAAAAAGAATAGCCTTCCCAGTTACCTCCTGCACAAGTCCCAAGGAAGACCCTGATTAGTTCAGCTTGGTCATTTGCCTATCCCTGAACCAGTAACAATGTCCGGGGAGATATACTACCATGACTGGGATTGGTAGCCTACCTAGAACCACAGGGAATGGGGGCACATGGAGGAAAGCAGAGTTCTTCAAATGAAAAAGAAGGAAGGGGAAACTCATCCTGGATGTGACAGTGGCTTCCAGTACATTTGTCCTTCCCCCACAATGCCCCTGTATCCACTCTACAACCTAGCCTGGTTCAGCCCTCAAGGACTGTGGTGGAGAGGGGGTGTCAAGCTGCAGTGGGAAGAAAGGGGCATCTGGGTTTTTCTTCTTGCCTTCTCTAAGTTCCCTCAGCTCAAATGCTTGGGCTTCTGGGAAGTCTCATGGAGAATTTGGACTCTGAATCTCTTTGCCAAAGGATACTCTTAACTTACCAAGCAGATAAGAATGCAAGTGGAACTGGCATTGTGGGCCACACAGAGGAGCAATGAAGCTCCCTGAGGGCAGGTTTATATTCACAGCTCTGCTCTCCCCTACTTTTTTTTTTTTCTTTTAAACCTCCTGTACTCCTCTTAGAGACCACCAGAGGGCGCGTGAATCCCAGCTTCTCTATTAACAGGGAGGCACAGACAGGACCAGCAGGACACGTGGGGAACTCACAGAGCAGTGGGCAGGGGAGGGTAAGACTGAAAGGAAGCAAGGAGACCTGTGGACAGCTTAGGTCGAGCTTCTAGGGTTCAGACTGTCTGGGATCTCTGGGCTGGCTCAGACCTAGGCTGGAACCCAGCCTCCCAGTCTCTACTATTGGGTGGGTGGGTGGGGGCGTTGATGGTAGTGAGATGTGGTGGGTGATGCTGCATAGCTTCCTCCATGATGCCAGAAAGGGAAACTGGGGCAGTGGCATGAACTGACAACACCCCAAGTAAGTTAAAAGGAATTCGGTGGAAGTAGTATGGTACAGTGAAAAAGGTCTAGTTTGCTAGCTTGACCCTTAAACAAATCAGTTAATCTGTCTTAGCCCCAGACTTCCTATCATCAGAGATACCTGATTGCTTATTAGTACATTGTGAGAATGCATTGCAATCTTTAACCTGCTAGTCACATGTTAATCATTCATCTTCTGTGACCAAGCCCCACAGGGGTCTGGGAACTGCCTTCTGTGAAGGGTGAGAGTGATGGCCCAGGAGACACCATTGGGACCATTAGCCTGGTCCTCTTTAAGCTCAGTGATGGCTCTGTGCTCTTGCACTGCTGCCTGGGAAGAGGGCCAGAAGCAGAGCTCAGAAGTGCCCCCATCACTACTCCCCCTTGCTCACCCAGCTGCTCAGCTCCAGGCACAGTCTGAGCCATCAAGGGCCCCTGCTGGCTGAGGGGTGGGGGAGATGTGGAATTGGGGAGGTGGGGGGAAGGGCACAGAGGCACCCCAGATGTGTGCGTGACCACATCAGGAACAGGCAGAATGCAGGCAGATGGGTGAAGAGACTGGGTGAGGCCTCAGCCTGAGGCCAAGGGCTCAGAAAACATTTCCCTCAATGACAAAACATATTAGGAGTTGGGGAAGACTGAAGCAGCAAGCTATTGCCCCTTACCTTGCTGAGAAGTGGTGGTCCTTGAGGCCTGGACAACAAGACAAAGAGCCCCCTTATTGGTCTGGGGTTCCTTCCCTCTCTTCTTCACCAAGAGAAACTTCTCCACCTGAGCATCAGGACTGAGCCGAGGCTGGACTGGGCTAGGCTGGGACTGGGAGGGTCCCACCTGTTCTTACCCTGATTCCTCCCCTGGCCCTCCTTCCCTGTGATCTCCCCCAGAGCTGCCACAGCTGGAACCATTCTCCAAGCTGCCTTTCATCTCCAGTGCACCCCCCACCCCCAGTGGCCCCTATAATTGTGGTTTCAGGCGGCGGCTGCGGGGGCTGAGGCTGGGCTGAGGGCCAGGGCCCAGGGCAGGGCCAGGGAGGGGACTGCCGATAGGGGCTTGGCCATGGCGTGGGTCATATGGGGCTGGGACCCCAGCTGCAGACACTCTCCCTGGGCTTCATCTACGTACATGCCAAGGTCTTGTGCCTACATATACCCTCCCCTCCCTGGACTGAGAAGTGCTCCAGACTTGGGCACTCCTAGATTCCTAGACTCCCCTCATGATATCGGGCCAGAGCCACGCTTGAGTGCCAGCCTTGGGAATTGTTATTTGCCTCTTGGGGTTTTCAAAGAAAAGGTCTTCTCTCTCTCCTTTGCACTTCTATCTATATTTCATAAACAGTGGAGGTGGGGGAGCAAAGACACCCTCCCTTGTCAGAGGGAGGCCAAAGGAAAAATCAGCCATTCAATGAGGTTGGCAGCATTTCCCAAAGGTGGTCCCCACCAAAATTACTTGGGATACTGGTTAGAAATGCAGACCTCCAGGCCTTGTCGCTGGAAAGGCTGATTCAGCTGCATGGGGCCTGGAATCAGTATTTCCCACAATGGCCTTCCCCAGGGGACACATACGCATCATCAAGCGTGGGAAATGCTAGGGTTAGCACTAGACAGGGAGTAAGGAGATGTGCAGTCTGACTATGAACACGTTCCTTGTGTCATGTTGGGCCTGTCCCCAATCCTCTCTGGGCCTCAGTTTCCCCAACAGCCAGTGGGAACATGACTCTTCAGCTTGCTGCTGCCCTACCTCACCCTGGGTCCATGCTTGCTTCCCTCCTGTGTTTGCTCTGGTCCTACTCTATCCCTACCCACACCCTTCCCAAACTCTAGTCCCAAGCTGTCCCTGTCCCTGCAGCATGGTGGGGGAGAGTGGGGAAGGCAGGGGGCGGCTGGGGTCAAACAAGGCTCTGGCTGACGCAGTCTGTTTCCTGCCCCCGGCTGTTTTCCTGCTGTCCAGCCAGACTGCTCCCCCCCACTGCCCCACCCCCACCCCCAGCAGCCTCAAGCCCTTAATTCCTGACAGCTGCGGTGACTGCCGGCAGAGATGGGGGAAAGGAGGGGGCAGTATGCTGTCAGCCTGCTGTTGCTCAGGCTGCCCCACCACCTGACAGTCTGGGGACAAGGAAGGCCCCACCCCTCTCCTCCAATTCCCTAGGGATTGGCAATTCCAGGAATGGGCCCCTTTTGTCTCTGAGCCCAGAGGCTCCCTTAGTTCTGTCCTTAGGACAGGCTGAGCTCTCTTCAGAGAGAGGAGGGAAGTCAGGTGGGAGGGATCTGTATGTATAGAGTGGGAGGCTTGTGCCCATTTTACAGAGGAGGATGCTGAGGCCACAGCAGGAGCAAGATTCACTAATAGGGCCCAGGTTAGAACCAGAAGCAGAAGCCAGAACCTCTTTTCTCCCAACCCTCTGTCTCTCAGGCCTGGGCCCAGCACACTCACCCAATATGGAGGAGGAGGTATTCAACTGGGGAGGAGAGGCACCTCCCCAGAGGGGTGGTCCTGAGCCAGGAGGTTGGTGTTGGGGAGCTCCTAGAGGACCACGTGCAGGTGGGGCCAAGGCAAGGCCAAGGCAAGGCCAGGGTAAGACTCAGAGCATCCTCAGGCACAGGCAAGCAGCACTCAGTGGGCACAGGAAAGTATTCCACAGAGGGGTGGTCCTGAGCCAGGAGGTTGGTGTTGGGGAGCTCCTAGAGGACCACGTGCAGGTGGGGCCAAGGCAAGGCCAGGGTAAGACTCAGAGCATCCTCAGGCACAGGCAAGCAGCACTCAGTGCTGCCGCCACAGCTGCTGCACTGGCAGTCGGGAGAACTGTGTTCAGTTTTAACTCTTCCACTCATTTGCTGTGTGACCTTAAGTAAGTCATGACCCTCTCTGAGTCTCAATATTTTCTTGTGAAATGAAAGGGGACTAAATAAGATGACCTCAAAGTCCACTTCTAGGATTAAAAGCCGCTCTGATCTCTTCTCCCAGGGTGTGCCATGTCAGGGTGCTCCACTCCCAAGCAAGCACTTGCTGGAGGCCTGACACTTCTGCCTTCATTAGCTCAGACTAGATGAAGTGGCCTCACTAACCCCATTCCCAAAGGGACAAAGGTTGTCTCATTGAGCAGGAGGCTCCTCTTTAAGGTCACACAGCAAAGGAGAGGAAGAGCCAGAGACTGCCACACCCCTTTGCAGGACCCCACACCTGCCTCACTAGGCAGGCCCCGGGGAAGTCCCTTCTGAGGTAGGGGAGGCGACACAGAAGGGCCAGCCTCTCCCCTCCAGCCCCTGCAGGTGTGTGGGTTGGGGTGGGGGGGTGCTCCCCAGCAGCTGGCCTCAGCCATACACACACCTCGCCGTAACACGCGCCTTCCCCACACCATCCAGCGCTCCCCGCACACACACAACTCCCTGTGCTCGCAGACCCCAACACCTCTCCTTCCCCCACCGCGGGCACGGCCGCTCCCACCCCCAATCCTGAGCTTTCGCAGCGGCTCGGGACGAGTACACGCCTCCACCCCCCCCCGTCGTGACGTCACGTGGGGTAGAGCCCTGAGACACTAAATGGAGGGGGGAGGGAGAAAGGGGAGGCGGCAGATCTC